GTGTGTGTGTGTGTGTGTGTGTGTGTGTGTGTGTGTGTGTGTAGCATTTGCTGAGCTGGTGTCTGGGGAGGGTGGGAGCAGTGAGCTGTGCCTCAGAGGGTCAGATGGGTGGAGCCAAGACTAAGGTAACTGCAGAGGAGTAGCTCCAGGCCACTTCCAGCTCCAGAAGGGTCTCCACGGTGCAGCAGCTCCGGGGTTCTTAGGCCGGGCCCCTTTCTACCTCCGGGAACACTGGATATTGTGGCTTATGCAGGTTTCATAGTTTACTTGCATGATCTGTCATTGACAACTGAATTAGTTACTACATGGTCACGTGTGTGCACACACACATTTTTAGGGAGAATTAACCGTGTTACTGGAGACACTGATACTAAAAAAGTGCTGTGTGCACAGTACCACGCCAGGCTCCGCACAGGTGAGCAGGCCCTACTGTCCTTAGGTGACCAGCCTCCTGGGAAGTTAATGATGGTCTGAGAGATGGGACTCATGTGAGATCTGCTTTGACTGTCTGTGGATGCGGAGTCTGAGGCAGATGCCAGGGGAAGGCAGAGCTTCTTCTGGGACTAACTTTGCCGTATTCTAAACTCAAAGACGTTATCGATCTATGGAATCTGGCCTAAGTTGAAATGATGAGCCAGTGTGGTACCAGTGTATTCTACTGTCCTCTGAAATGAGTTAGCAAACTGCGCAGTGAGGAACACGCCAGTTGGCCTGCTAGCCTCGAACCTGTGATTCTGTGTCCAAAGCAAGAATGTCTTTAGGGCCGTTGGGCAGAAGAAAACCGCCACATAACCTCCTGAGAGAGAGTGTGTCCTCTTTGCTTCCCAACCCTGATGCTGTGTGGTTGTTTTGATTTCAGAAAGAGTGCCAGACATCCCACCAAGAGGAGTCAAGACAGGCGCTGCAGCGACGCCTGAGGAGTTTGGAGTCATTAGCGAGGTAAAGTTCTGTGTGCCGGGCTGGGAAGAGACTGCCGAAGGCCTGGCTGTGTGAGGCGATGCCTGGGATGTACCGCCAGGCATCCTGGGCCTCTTGTACCTCCAAGGTGTGGCAGCACAGAGGTTCCCTCTGTGTTCATTCCCCTCTGTGTGGGAGAGCGGCCTGGCTGTCCACAGCCTTGAAGGGTAGCAGGCACTGCATGTGGCTGTATATTGCTGCTGACCCTGCTGGGGAAACCCTCCACATTCACCTCCCATCATGGTCGGACCAAGTAACTTTTGATGAACTTAGATAAACACGTGGGGTTTGTGCTTGGCACCTTCTTATTGTGTTGTTTGTCTAGTAATTAATTTGTGCTGTTACAGACGTGTTGATCTGTGGCGAACGGGGAGCAGCGAGTGAGCCAGCTTTCTGAGAAGGGCTCAGCCTGCCCTCTCCTCAGCCTCGAAGTCCTGGGTGTTAGTTGAATGCCCACATCGCCACTCTGGTTTCTTTTCAGAATGGAGAAAAAGGCATTTGAAAGCTTGTACATTTACGAGCTCCCGTCACCATCACCTAATTGTTATCAGTGTGGGGAAAAAGATCCCCAACCCAGAGTTTATTATTATTAACACGGTTCAGTCAGCAACTGTCCTAATCTCCTCTCCTGGTCCTTGCATAGGATAAGAGTGCATTGTTCTCAAGAACCAGTGCTGATGTTTCTGTATTTATTATTAGCTAAAATCGGACTCCTGGGAGTACCTGGTTCCCATGTCAGAGCTTAAGCCAGGGGACCCTGACTCCGGCCACAACTATTTTTTGGTCAATTCCCAGCAGAGATGGACTCACATAAGACTCAACATCTTCCCAGGTACGTGTGACAGGAATCTTTGATGGGCATGTGGCCTTTTTATCTTGTGTTGTCATGTTTATGAAATACAAAAATAAGCCATCTTTTCCTGGTAATTTGAACTTGGTATATTTTAGGATTATGATTTGTCTTGTGTATCAAGAAACTGACACTCTACTCACCAATGGTTAGTTAATGAAAATGGATCAGTTTAGTCAGGCGGTGGTGGCGCACGCCTTTAATCCCAGCACTTGGGAGGCAGAGGCAGGTGGATCTCTGTGAGTTCGAGGCCAGCCTGGACTACAGTGGGAGATCCAGAACAGCCAGAGCTACACAGAGAAACTCTGTCTAAACAAACAAGCAAGCAAGCAAGCAAACAAACAAACAAAAGATGTCAAGTTAAGGTGTGCTGGGACTGAGCTGTGCTGGAATTTCATGTCCCCTGCCTTTCATTTCACAAGTATGTTAAAAGTTGAGGGAGTATACACACATTATTCTATTTTAATTTTTTTTACTTATGTGCAGGTGTGTGTATCTCTGTGTGCACATATGTGTGTGAGTACAGGTGCCTGAAGAGTTCAGAAGGGGTCAGATCCCTTGGAGGTGGAGTTCCAGGCAGTTGTGAGTGCTGGGAACTGAACTCTGGTCCTCTGGAAGAGCAGCAAGTGCTCATAATCGCTGATCCATTTCCCCAGCCCCTATTTTATTTTTTCTTATGTGGGAGCTTTAGAGCAGTATGTCACAATAACATAGGATTCGCCCATTTGAAGTCTACAGTTGAAGTATAAACACAGATACAGGCAGCACAGTTAAAGCCAGGACTTTTTATTAGCTCTGAAAGAAACGCAGCTCTTGAGGCTGCACTCATAGCCCAGTGGCAGAATACTTGGCTAGCACACACAAGGCTCCGGGTTCCATTTCTCCAGCAATTGCCCCTCACCTTCCCTAACCCTACCCATCAATATACACTTTCTTTGTGTTCAGAGATTTGACTATTTTACACCCCAAAGGAACAGAATCGTGTTTTACTGGTCATTTGCTCCTCTGGCTTCTTTTACTTGGCATGATGCTTTCAAGAATCCTCTTGGTTGTGCCAGGCAGGGGTGCTTCATTCCTCTTGTGCCAAATGACATTCTATTTTACGGTTAGAGCACATTTATATATCTGTTTATTAGTTGGTAGTCATTTGTTTCTACCTGCTGGATATAATGAACAATGTTATGAATGTTCACTTACAGAATTTTAAAATATTTTATGTATGTGAGTGTTTTGCCTACTTGTATGTCTTGTGTGCCTAGGGAGGACAGACAAAAGCATCAGATCCTCTGGAACTGGAGTTACAGATGGGTGTGGGTCACTATATGGGTGCTGGGGATCGAATCCAGGTCCTCTGGAAGAGCAGCCAGTCCTCTTAGCCACTGAATCATTTCTCCATCTCAAATATGTGGGGTGTGTGTGTGTGTGTGTGTGTGTGTGTGTATGTGGGGTGTGTGTGTGTGTGTGTGTGTGTGTGTGTTTCCATCTGTTTTTAGTATATACTTAAGATCGACATTTTTGGGTCATATGGTAACTCTGTGCTTGAGGATTTGAGAAGTTCTAGATATTTCTCAAATGGGAGCCATGCATGAGGGTTTTGACTCCTTCAGTCCTTCAGTTCCCTCCAGTGCCAGGCATCTTATTTGTCATAGTCACCTGGTGGGTGTGAAATACTGTCTTTCTGTTTTGATTTGCATTTCCTTGGACACCAATGATAGTAACTTTTTGCATGTGTATTGGCCATGGGTATATTTTCTTTGGAAAACCGTCTCTGTCAATCATTTGTTTTCTTGATGAGAGACAATCTAAATGGGGGTAAGCTGGAATCTCAAAGGCTTCTTAATCTGCATTCCTCTGATAGCTGAGGATGATAAACACTTCAGATATTAAACGTCATCTCTTCAGTTCAGCCTGTTTTCTGACCGGATAGTTTGGTTTTATTCATCCATATTTTCCTTGTATATTCTAGACATTGATCCCCTGTCTGATGTATGGTTGATGTTCCCCCCTGTCTGTAGACTGTATCTTCTTTCTGGTTATGCAGAAGCTTTTAAAAATGCGATTCCATTGGTCAGTTCTAGAGGTTATATCTTGTGTTAATGGAGCTCTTTCAGAATTCCATGCCTATGCCCATTTCGTGAAATACCCTCCTCTAATAGTTTCAGGTCTTACACTGATGTCTTTGATCCATTTAGAATTGATTTTTGTGCAAGGTGAGAGATATGGAGATAATTTCATTTTTCTACACGTGGATATCTAGGGTTTCCAGCTCCATTTCTTAAAGAGGATGTATGTTATTATTTTTTTTTAACATTGCTTGCTTTTGAAATTTTGTCAAAATCAAGTGGTTACAACTGGATCTACTTCCAGGCCTTCTATTCCACTGGCCTGCACATCTGCTTTGTGCCAATGCCACAGTTTTTCTTACTGTGGCTCTGTAGCGTAATTTGAGGTCAGGTATGGTGATTCTGACAGAATGATGCTTAAAAAAATAATTAAAAAACTGTGATTGTGTATATGCATGTGCATGGTGTCTGACATAAGTGTGGTAGTCAGAAAACAACTTGAGTTGCTTCTCTCCATCACGTGGGCTCTAGGGATTGAACTCAGGTCCTCCCTTATGCTTGGCAGCAATCACCTTCACCTGCTGAGCTATTCTGCCAGTCCCAGGAAATTTCTATTTTTGGCATGCCAAAACAGCAACTTCATGTGTTTAATCAAGCTTACATGACACTTAAGAGCCGAAGGAATGTCTCAGACATTTCACAGGGCAATTCCTGCCTTGCTTGCTTGGATCCAGAGGGTTGGCCATTATCTACTGCCTGGTTGAAGGTGAGGGGTGGACATTGCCTGTGAGATTTCTCCTGCCTGTTTGCCCAATCCCTACTGTTTGGTGACGGTTCTACCTGGGATACAGTTTTGAAAGGGACAGGAATAGTAACATATCAGGACATTGTCACTGAGTCACAGTGGATGAAGAGGCAGTTTTGAGATGCTTCATCATTTCAAAGGTGTGGCTGGATATTAACTCTGTAAAGAGAAACCTTACTTTTAAAGGATAAAACTGGCTTTATATCTGAGAGGTAGATATCTTACTGCTGAAGTGAAGCACCGCATCTGGGTGCCAGAGCAGCAGAGTCTCCATCTTGTTCTCCCTCTTGCTTTTCTAAGATTTCATGACCTCAAAATCTGGTTTAATAGGCTGAAAACAAAGATATTCACTCGTTATCAGAATATTTTCAGAATACTCAATTTCATCTTTTTTTCTTTTCTTGTTTTTTTTGGTGGGGGGAGGATTTTGAGAGCGTTTCTCTGTAACCCTGGCTATCCTGGAACCCATTTTGTAGACCTGGATGACCTCAAACCCAGAGATCCACCTGCCTCAGTCTCCTGAGGACTGGAATTAAAGTCCTGTGGCTCTACATTGGGCACCAGTTCTTTTCCAATGTCAAAACACATGGGGCTCAGATTCAGTGTTTAGTTACATGATAGGAACTTCTTTGCAAAAACTGCTTGGCTGCTGCTCTCCAGAAAGCCACATCCAGACGAAGGCTCGTTTGTGATGCTCAGGGGCTGTGAGTGGATCCGAGCGGCCGTTTGCTTCCATGCTTGTCTCATGTCAGGCTGTGCCTCTCGGCAGCAAGCAGGTTTTCAGAGGATCATCATCTTGTGTCTTAGATGCATTGCAGGGCAGTGTGGTGTGAGTTGGTGTTGGAGTCTGTGGTGCTGGCTTCTGATGCCAAATATTAAAAAAAAAGAGTTCTCTCTGTGTGTGTGTGTGTGTGTGTGTGTGTGTGTGTGTGTGTGTGTGTGTACGGGCAAGTACCCACAGAGGCCAGAAGAGGGCGTTGGATCCTCTGGAGCTGGTTACAGGTAGGTGGATGTGAGTCGCTCAGTGTGAATGCTGGGAACTGAACTCCTGTCCCCTGTGAGAACATCAAGTGCTCTCAACGGCCAAACCACCTCTCCTGCCCCTGAACCTATCCTGACAAATGTCCAGTTGATTTTGATTTTTACTGGCACAGTTTAATAAGGAAGCTGGTGTTCTACCACGTACTGGGAACTGCATGGATGTGACACACTCTGTAACTGGTCTGCCCTCCAGGGATTTTATACTCTGTGTCTGTGGCATCAATATTAGCAGAGGCTTAAAGCGTGAAAACAAAACAAAAAAAGTAACTTCAGGCTATGATTACAGCAGTGGAGTAAAGGAGGAGGCAGACGTGATAACATTTGCCTGGTGAGTCAGACAGGGGCCGAGTGGATGGGTGGGAGACGTGTGCGGAAGATGAGTGAAGACACTTTTGGAACCCTGGCACTCGAGGGCCAAGAATGACAAGTAGTGTTGGCGGCCTGAGAAGTCGCTCAGGTGCCAAGCAGTGTCAACTGCAGGGCCCCGGGCAGAGGCCTTACTGAGTCATGAAACTAGCAGGAAAGGAGGTGGGCCAAGGCCGGCAGGCCCCAGGGAACACGATCCCGCAGAAACCAGCTTCTCCCAGCTAACACAGACACCTTCCCTTCTCAGATGGTGGCATCGCACGCCTCCGAGTGTACGGTACTGGACAGAGGGACTGGACGTCATCGGGTGCCAAGGATCCTGTAGACCTTGTGGCCATTGCTTTTGGGGGAATCTGTGTAGGATTTAGTAATGCGCACTTTGGTCATCCAAATAATATGATAGGTGAGAGGACATCCCAGGAGCCAGCCTTCATGTCCAAGCATGGGCGCTGGCATTGCAAGCTGGGCATGGCCAGAATGATGCCCCGGGGCTGGGGTGGGGACTCCCTTGGAGAATGGGGGTCACTAGATGCCTTTGTGATGTGGAATGGGTCAGTAAGAGCCTTGGTCCTTCTTAATTTTGGCCTAAGTAGCTGCTATAAGTTAAAAAACAAAAATAAAAACAAAAACCAGTCAACCCCATGGCTGTGAATTCACTGAAATATCAACTCCATTGAAATGAATTTATGTAGCGATACTTGGTATTATGGGATGTGAAATTTAATGATAGCAAATCCATTCCCACATTCAAATTAAATCAAAGGTCCCTCCATTAACCCCAGCTGTTTCCTGTAGGTGTTGGCAAGCCCAGGTCCATGGCAGATGGCTGGGAAACTGCGAGGAGGCTGGACAGACCCCCCGTGTTAGAAGTAAGACCAGCAACAACTGTCGTTTTGAGGTTTCCTAGAAAAGGTTTAAAAACACTTCTTTTACTTTACATCAAGGAAAACTGCACTTCGTTAGGGAGCCTTCATTAGGGTATGATGTGCATGCCTATAATCCCAGCACTGGGGAGGTAGAGGCAGGAGGATCAGGAGTTCAAAGCCATCCTTAGTTACTTTTGCCATTAATTTTAACTGTCAACTTGATACAACCTAGAGTCACTTGGGAAGAGAGTCTTAGGAATTATCTAGACCAGATTGGCCAGTGGGCATGTCAGTGGGCATGTCACTGGGGGGATTGTTAATTGGTGTAGGAAGACCTAGATCATGTGGGCAGCACCATTGCCTGGTTTGGGTGCCTGGGTCCTGTAAGAGTAGAGAAGGTGAGAACACTAGACAAGCAGGCAGCATGGCTACACTCGTTTCTCTCTGCTTTTGACTGGATGGATGTGATGTGACTTACCTGATGGAGCTCCTGCCTTGACTTCCTGAGACGCTGGATGGTGACTTGGAATTGTCAGCCCACTAAACTCTGTCTTCTTCCCCTGTACCGCTCTCTGTCAGAATGTTATAGCAACAGAAATAGAACCAGGGAAGCCATAGGGTGTACCATGCTTTTTCTTTTAGGCCATCAACCAGCTCCCAAATCATGACAGAGACATATTATTAGTTTTGAATGCTCGGCTAAGCTTAGGCATGTTTCTGGTTAGCTCTTTTAACTTAAATCAATCTATTTCTCTTTATCTACCTTTTGCCTCGGACTTTTTACCTTTTCTTACTTTCCTGAAGTCGCTCTGTCTGTCTGTCTGGTGTCTGCCTGGCTTCTAGCCCTGGGGCATCATCTCCCTCGTTCTCTTCTCCTCCTCCTCTCTCAAGCCTAGATTCTCCTCCTTTTTATTCACTCTGCCCATTAGCTCTGCTTATCATTTCTTTGGCCTAGTTATTGGTCCATTCAGCTCTTTATTAATCAGGTGCCTTAGGCAGGCAAGGTGAAACAAATGCAATACATCTTTACATAATTAAACACACATCCTTATATCATTAAACAAATGCATCATAAACAAAAGTAACACACTTTTACATGGTCAAAGTAATATTTTGCAGCATAAAAAAATGTAACATATTTTTGCCTAGTTAAAATAATATACCACAACAATAGGGCCATTCTGGGCTACATAAGACCATGTGTTTCAAAACACAAGCAGACAGAACATCCAAAAGCAAAACAAACCAAAACCAACAAACCCTTGTAATCCATGGTCCAAGTTTTTATTATTTTTTTACATTTTTTCAAATTTCCTGCTGTATTTCCACTAGTCTACCTAGTGCAGTAGTACACTAAATTTCCTGCTGTATTTCCACTAGTCTACCTAGTGCAGTAGTACACTAAATTTTACCAGAAGACTAAACGTGCCTTGTTGGCTGCTCTAGTCAAATCTTCTTGACTATTCTATTTATTTGCTAAAGAAAGAAAAGAATCTGAAGTTTATTTTCTCATTTTAATTTATTAACTCAGCATTGGCTTGCTCCCTCCACCATGAAGATCTGGGGGACTGAACTCAGGCCTGGTAGCAAGTGTCTGTATCTGCTGAGCCGTCTTGCTGGGCCCCCAGAATCTACAGGTTAATGATGCAAGAGTGAATTTGTTGGAAAGCCTGGAGGAAACACTGGTTTAATAATTTTTAAGGTCCATGTTCCCCTGGGTGAGATGGCCTAGGTGAGCCTGTGACTCATAGAGGATGTTAGAGCCAAGTCAACAGTTTAATTAAACCTCAACCAAATCAAACCCAAACCACATTTGTTTTGCCATTGAAAACTTACAGCTGCTCCTCTCTCTGGGGTCTGACTTCCTGCCATCCTTCCAGATATAAATAGACCCTTCCTTCTGGAGAAGCAAGGTTTGTAGGCCAATCATCATCAGAGAGGATGATAACTAGGAGAGTACTTTCTTTGGAAGGTCAAAGTTTGGAGGACCCACAGGCTGAAGTAGGTCAGCATCTTTGTGTCTGGAGCACTCTTCATGAACTTATTACCAGCATAGAAATTGTATCGTGTGTGTGTGTGTGTGTGTGTGTGTGTGTGTGTGTGTGTGTGTGTGTGTGTGT